GTGGATGGAAACAAAGGGATTTCTGGGATGCGAAGTGATGCATCACGGGGCGTTGGGACAGGACCCAGAATGCCCCGCACCCACTCCCCCTTCCCACAACCTACGGTGCCAGAATGGGAAGAGGTGCTCTGTGGGATAGCTGTCCATAATGTGCCACTCTCAATAGCGCTGCAATTGCCGCAAATGTGGCCACGACAGTGCGCTGGGCAGCTGTCAGTGTGGACAGACTGCAGCGCTTTCCCTACTCAGCTGCACGAAGTCAGGTTTAACTCACAGCGCTGTACATCTGCAAGTGTAGCCAAGGCCTTAGAGTAAATGTAAGGAGATCACAAAAAAGTGACTTTGAATAAGGGGTCTTCAATCTGAAAAGGTTGAGAAACACTATAGTAGAGGGTTAGAAGGAAGAGTATCACAATATTACTTCATTAGTAGAGTTTCGCAGCATGATTGGTGACTGTGTTTCTCCAGATGGTTACACAGTATGAGGACAACAGGAAATGCTGAAATCCTTCGGTTCTTTCTTTGATGTGTCTATATTGGTAGGTAGTAGGATATGTACTATTATGAAAAGCAATCCAGGTCTAAGGATTTAAAATGGACACATGTTAAATTAGACAGGTAACAAAGGGAGATACAGGTGTGGGAAAAAAATGACCAAGATTCTGTCTTTCCCCCTGCCTCCTTTAGGAATCCTTGTTTCAGGATATTGACCTGTTACAGAAACATGGAATTGTAAGTATAAGTAATAGATATTATCTAGACAGTTTTGCATGGGATGTTATTTAGGAATGTTACCAAAAAACACTTCTCCATAGTGATGTGCATAACAAACTTTCTCCCCATAACAACGTCTAAGTAAGGCCATGTCTACGCTATGGGCACTATGGCAGCACAGCTACAACGCTGCAGCTATGCTGCTGTACCCCTGTCGTGTAGATGCTTCCTACAGTGACAGATGGGGTTATTCCATCTCCATGAGTGGTAATAGCTACGTCAATGGAAGAATTCTTCTGTCAACCTAGCTGCATCTACATAGTTATGTCGGCTTAACTATGATGCTCAGGTGTGTGAATTTTGCTGTGTCAACCTAACTTTTGAGTATAGACCAGGCCTAAGAGATACAGGGAGGGCTGGACAAGTTTTGTCTTTGATAGTTTACATATTAAGGGGCAGATTTTGAAAAGTGTTTACCACCCAGCAGCTCTTGAAAATATGGCCACTTATTTTAGTACCTAAGTGAGAGCAGTTGGATGGTGAGCATTTTTTGACAATCTGGCCATAGATTAGTTTCTGCACCAGCCAATAACTATCTATAATGACTCCAATGTCTTCTCTAGCCCCTACATTATACTGTGAATGGCTTTGTTATGCTGTTCTCAGAATGCTGGGGAGCAGTTTTCTTACTAGTTAAAAATTCTTCAGTAAACTCCACCAGTAGACTTCTCTCAAACTGGAAAAAATAACTCAATGATTTATATTAAGTGAGTACTTATTATACCCCTTTATGTATAAGACTTTTGTTCTTCATGACTGGCTTTTCTTCATCCATCCTTGTCATCATCATATGCACAAGATAAGCCCAAGGAGAAGACAGAAGCTTCTCAGTGGAAGCAATTAAGTTATCCCTTATTCTCCCTAGTGTCATTTGCACACAGCTCCTGTGCATAAATGGGGGACACATCCAAGTTCATAGTTTTTACTCAAAGAAGGGACTTCTCTGGAGGTGACAGTTTGAAGCAGTGTTCATTAAACCTTCTGCTACTATTTTGTCTAAGTAACCTGCTGCATTGCCTCTCTTCCATTACATTTCCACCCACCCAGGAGTATCTGTAACATTTGATAACAAGCAAGTGTATTCTTCCCTGGACATACTTAGAACATTCAGAAACAACAAAGCAGTTAAATCTATTTCTTTCATAGTGAAAATAAACATACATGTGAACGTACAATATAATGGGCTACAAAAACTTTCTTTACCTTCCAGTTGTAGCATTTCATGAGCTAGTGATCACAGAATGTGAACTTTCTTCACAGAATGTGGCTGATATTAAAAAGCTGAAGTCCGTGGGAATCTGTACCGTCAAAGGGATCCAGATGACAACGAGGCGGGCATTGTGCAATGTGAAAGGGCTTTCAGAGGCCAAAGTGGACAAGATCAAAGAAGCAGCCAACAAGCTAATTGTAAGCAAATCACATACCTTAGCATTTTCAACTTAGAACACCCTCCCCCCCCACCCCCGGTAAGATACTTTGCAGCATTTCCCACTGCAAGCATTAGAACAATCATGCTTACAAGTGATTGTGCTTATTAGTCTGAAGTCAGAGATACTACTTTATAGTCAATAGCAGCCAGACTGACAATTATGATGGCCCTTGACAGGTTCAGCCAGATGAGAGGTCAATGAGGAGAAATGGATCTTGGCTGAGGAGTTCTTCCTAAGTATCAGGCCAAACTGAATAATTTCTTTTGGTGTTCCCCTAGGAACCAGGATTCTTGACTGCCTTTGAGTACAGCGAGAAAAGGAAGATGGTGTTCCATATCACCACTGGGAGCCAGGAATTTGAGTAAGTTTATCTCTACTTAACCCTGCCTGAGCTTTGCCCAAAAAGTAATCATATTATTTTTCTCCAACTGGCCACAAAACAACTATTAGAGACAAATGTTCAATTAGGACACAGTGGGTGCAGTTGCAAAAAAGCAAGTGGAAGTGAGTCATTTAACCCTGCTCAGAGTAGGGTTGGGTGACACTGGTAAAAAGCCTGATTCCTGCTTACACTGCAGTCTCCACTGTTGCTACCACCCGTGGAACTGTAATGACAGTGAATTGTAGGACCTAAATTTGCCTGAGTAGACTCAACCTTTTTGTATGCTAATCAAGCTCACACACGATAGTTTCATGTCAATAACATGCACCTCAAATCTAATTTTAAATAATAAAAGTACTAGCTGACCCTGTTTTTGCTTAAGGTTTATGCAAAATTCCCCAAGTTCATCTGCTTTCCCAGAAGTGACACAATATATGTGCAATATGGTGCAATGGTTCAGCAGCAAAACCCCCATCTGAATAAGAAAGGACTCTTCCTCAAAATGTAGGAGCAGACTGTTTGGTTCTTGCATGCACATGCACAAGGAGGCTTACCTCCTTTGTGTGTTCTGCAGAGGTGCCAGGCACAATTACAATCCGGATACTGTCTTAACTGCCGTGACTGCTTCTTCAAGCACCCCCAGTTTGTTAACAATCCTACAGGGGACAAAGAGGAGGTGGGTGTCTTTACACACTGTCTCATACCAGACAGTAGAATAGCTGACTGTGCAAGGCAGCACTCCTTACACCCTTCTAAGGGGTAGTGTAACAAGTGCATTCCCCAGTCTGCCTGGGAGATTTAAGAAGCATTGTGTCTAAAACAGCATTTCTCAAATGTGGCCACCAGCGATTTTTGTTGCAGCCATGACAATCTCCAAAGCGTGGGCAGAGATTGGGACGGAGGGAAAAGAAGCAGCCCCTCCTGCAGTGCCTAGCTGTTGCTCCTGAATAGCTGTTACCAAGGGCAGCGAGATGCACTGCCTTAGTGTTTGCGTTGGTGCCACCAGCAGGGATCGGCGCCCTGCACTGGGGAGCCTTCTTGGGGGTTCCAGGCAGTGGCAGCTCTTGTCAGTGGAGGTGGCTGTGGCATTCGGTCACCGGGATGCTCCCCTGAGCAGCTCTCCCACTCCCGTCTGGACAGGGCACGGGGAGCCTGGGACTCCGCAGGTGACTAGTGAGTTCCTGACCCACCTTTCCTGGGGCGGGTTCTTGCTGCAGGGCCTCCGGAGGCAGGGACAGAGAGACAGGTTTGTCAGAGTGGCCATCAGCAAGAGTTGGTGACTGCACACTGAGGCCACCAAAAAAATTCGTTGTGAGAACCCCTGGTCTAAAGGAGTTCTTTCTGAGCTGATGCAGCTCCACACTGTTCTTAACAATGACTTGTGCCTTAAAGGTACATTCTGGAATTTTTTCTTGATGGGTAGTGCATGCAAAAGCAAGTAAAAATGGCTAAACATAAGCAGGAAATAAATAGAAAATGTGGTAAATTAATAGATTAGGGTTTATATCAATCCCATGACCACTTGGTGGTGGAGCCTTATCTTCTCAAAAATAATTTCTCTTTTCTATCTCCCAAATGGCCACTATGTACATTTTCTCCTAAGCACCTGTAGAAGGGGAGGGGGAACTGAGACAGAATTAGCACCCTGTATACCACGGATCATTTGGTGCCCCTGCACCCTATCACATCATGAGTTAAGTGCAGGGCCTTTTGGATGAGAAGAGATTTTCTTACAGTGGCAAAGATTCCCCTTTTGACATTACTCTTGTGACTGTGGGCATTTCAATATGCTTAACTCTTTCTCTCCCTCCAGTAAACTATTGGGTGGTGGGATTGAAAGCATGGCAATCACAGAGGCCTTTGGAGGTGAGTGAACCATATTAAATGGATTTTATTGAGTGGGTTATCAATAGAGAGCTGCAGCAGATGTTTAGGTTTTAAAGCAAACTACATCATTTCTATCAAATTCTCATCACACTGGATCTGAAAAGATGGAAGTTCAGGCTCAGCTATAATGGATGGTCCCTTTCCAGGGTTGATGAAAGCAGAAATAATCCCATCTTTGTCAGTTTTTTGCCATTGTTCCTCTTCAGTTGTTGCAGATGCGGGTTGAGCTGGGTAACACTCACATTTGGGGGCATGCTGGTTCAGTATCGTATACCACTATGAACAGTGTTGCTCAGGAAACATTTCCCCATTTTGCTTCTCCATTTCTTCCCAGTAATAAAACCTTGATGTGAGATTTCCTGCTGATACATACTCTTCTCCACGAAGAATCAAAACTTAAAGTTCAGCCCACAATAAACTATTGTAATTCAAGAGATGTGTAAATATTTGCACCCAGCTTCTATCATTCATTAGCTTTACTACAGGCAAAAGTCACAGTGTAAAGCAATATAAAGTATGAAGATCCACAGATGTGACATATATAATTTTGGCAGCACCGTACAGAATTCAAACAACGAGATATAAGCAAATAATGCAATGCCCTTCATATCTGATTTAGATAGTAAATTATTATTACAGCAAAAGTCAGTCAGCAAGATCAAAAGACTTGAGCAGCAATAACTACAGTTTATCAAATACAGCACACTTCCCCTTTTAAAAAGTGTCCTTGAGGCTTGAACAGTTTGATGAAAGATTTTCTGGACATGTCTTAAAATATTATCTCCTGGTCTTCAAAGTAATACCACCAACTTGAAATCTAGATTAAAAATGAGATAAAATTTGTTTCAGGTGTTACACCCACCCTTGAGTCTCGACCAATTTTTATGGATTTAAAATAACATTTTTAAAATTTGATTTTCTGTTCTCATCTGCTATGTGGAAGACCCACTCAATTGATAGTGGAAAGTAACTACCTGAATGTATAAGGGAAATAGGGAAAATAATTATAGACAAAGTGCTGTCAAATGTAGGAAGTAAGCAAACTGAAAAAATATTTTTGTAAACCTTTTAGCTATAGCAAACTTAGATATTACTTGTTAAAATAGTAAATAAAATATTTTTGACAGACGTTTGGTTTTTTTAATTGATTGTATCCATTTAAAACCAATGCTAATATTTTCATTTGCGTGCAACACACCTCTGTAGTAAATGGAATTCTTTGTAGGTTGATTGTAATGATTATTGCAGTGTTTATCTGTGTTTTTTTGAGAAACAGTTTCACATTCATCATTCTTTTTGCCAGTAAGATGTCTTGATGTGTACTAGGTTTGCTGGACTCTACACACAAGTGGGAATGGCAATCACACCACCATTTGGATTATTAGTATTATTGTATTAACTCTGAGCAAGGCTATTTATCATCCGGGTTGTCAGTTTTCACTGGTGCAATGCCAGTGGAACAGCAAGCACTGGTGTGGTGTAGCCATTGCACCAATGCAATTAGTCTCTCAGTACAGTCACAGAATGCTCCAGTATACCATTTACTAATATCTTTGACAGCTCATGACAGTGCCTTTGGCACCTGTCAAGATGGCTCCATATGGCACAACAGCAGTTATGGTTCTACATGGACCCACAATGCCCCCCACACGTCTCTTCCTTTCAGGACTGGTCAAAAGCAAATGAGGCAGTATTTGGGTGATTTCAGCTCATCCCAGGCACCTTTCCTGAGACCCCTGCCCTCAGAATAACAGTGAACAACCAACAAGATAATATAAAATACAAATTTATAAAACATGTAACATGTTTTTCTCTCCGTTTTTTTTTAAATTCTGTGGACATTATTCACTTATTCCAGGGAGCTGTGCCAGGGACTGTGGGATAGATGCAACAATCCATAGGCCCCACAATATTTGCAGTGAGTGTTCTTTGTGGACAATGTATATCATGGACAACCAGAACAAGATGCCTAGTGTAGACACACTACACCATGGTGATCATATGGTGTAAATTACAATGGTGCAATTCTCAAACAGCTTTGGAGAGCAAAGCAATGGCTATAATGGGTTCTGGGATTGCTCACATGGTTTCTGATATTTGAACCCATTTGACTGAAAATAAAGTTAAGCCTGGTCAGTGGAGTTAACCCAATACCCTCAGCAACACCTAACATTTTTCCAACAGTGGGCTGGTCTACACTATGACTTTAATTCGGATTTAGCAGCGTTAAATCGAATTAACCCTGCACCCGTCCACACAACGAAGCCATTTATTTCGACATAAAGGGCTCTTAAAATCTATTTCTGTACTCCACCCTGACGAGTGGAGTAGCGCCAAAATCGATATTGTCATTTCGAATTAGGGTTAGTGTGGCCACAATTCGATGGTATTGGCCTCCGGGAGCTATCCCACAGTGCACCATTGTGACCGCTCTGGACAGCAATCTGAACTCGGATGCACTGGCCAGGTAGACAGGAAAATCCCCGCGAACATTTGAATTTTATTTCCTGTTTGCCCAGCGTGGAGAGCACAGGTGACCACAGATAGCTCATCAACACAGGTAACCATGCAAGCTGATAATCGAAAAAGAGCACCAGCATGGACCGTACGGGAGGTACTGAATCTGATCGCTATATGGGAAGAGGATTCAGTGCTAGCAGAACTTCGTTTGAAAAGACGAAATGCCAAAACTTTTGAAAAAATCTCCAAGGGCATGATGGAGAGAGGCCACAATAGGGACTCAGATCAGTGCCGCGTGAAAGTCAAGGAGCTCAGACAAGCCTATCAAAAAACAAAGGAGGCAAACGGTCGCTCCGGGTCAGAGCCGCGGACATGCCGCTTCTATGACAAGCTACATGCAGTTCTGGGGGGGCTGCCACCACTACCCCACCTCTGACCGTGGATTCCGAGGTGGGGTAATCTCATCAGCTACACCTGAGGATTCTGCAGACGGGGAAGAGGCGGAGGAGGAGGAAGATGAGCTTGCGGAGAGCACACAGCACTCTGTTCTCCCCAACAGCCAGGATCTTTTTCTCAGCCTGACTGAAGTACCCTCCCAACCCTCCCAAGCCAGTATCCAAGACCATGACCCCATGGAAGGGACCTCAGGTGAGTTTACCTTTTAAAATATAAAACTTGTTTTAAAAGCAAGCGTTTTTAATGATTACTTTGCCCTGAGGACTTGGGATGCATTCGCAGCCAGTACAGCTACTGGAAACGTTTGTTAACGTGTCTGGGGATGGAGCGGAAATCCTCCAGGCACATCTCCATGAAGCTGTCCTGGAGGTACTCCAAAAGCCTTGCCACAAGGTTTCTGGGCAGTACAGCCTTATTCCGTCCTCCATGGTAGGACACTTGACCACGCCATGCTTGCAGCAAGTAATCTGGTATCATTGCATGATAAAGCCTGGCAGCGTATGGTCCCGGTGTTTGCTGGCATTCAAGCAACATCCGTTCTTTATCTTGCTGTGTAATCCTCAGGAGAGTGATACCGCTCATGGTAACCTGGTTGAAATACTGGAATTTAATTAAGGGGACAGAGGTGGCCGTTCCTACTGGGCTGTTTGCCTGTGGCTGAAAAGAAATCCTTCCCTGCAGTTAGCCAAGCGTGGGGATGTGTGTGTGTGCGTGAATTGGCCCTGAGCTTTTCGCGTTTGGCTAGCAGGGATCTTCCCTGATACCAGCCACGCGGTGGGGGGAGGGGTAAAGCGATCATCCCAGAGAATTCATGGTGGGGTGGGGGGTGTTAGTTTGGTTCCTGCAGGGATCTTCCCTGATACCAGCCATGCGGTGGGGGGAGGGATAAAGCGATCATCCAGAGAATTGGATGTGGGGGGGGGAGGTTAGTTTGTTTTCTGCTGCTGAAAGTTAACAGGAAAACCGCAGCACTCAACGGGCTTTGCTTGGTATGTGGGAAAGGAGGGCGCAGAAGCCGAAAGACAATGGCTTACCATGGCCGCATGCAAGCCGAATTCTGTTGCCCAGACCTGCATCTGTGATCTCTAGCAGCAAAGCCACAGGCACTCAATATTAAGAGGCAAAATGCGACCTTGCACAGAAATCACATGTGCTATGTAATGTGAATAGTGTTGGTCACAGTGAAAGAGTATAAGCATTGTTCTGCAAAATGTATCTTTTTAATAAATTCTCTCCTTTTTTCCTTCCCTCCAGCAGCTGCAAATTTTTCAAGCCTCCCTCCTCCGTCCCGAAGGCTATCTCCGATAAGGCCTCGGAAAAAGAAGACGCGAGACGAGATGTTTGCGGAAATCATGGAATCCACCCGCAGTGAAAGAGCTCATCTGAATGAGTGGAAGGACACGGTTTCAAAGTATAGGAAAGAAGCCAGTGAACGTGAGGACAGGAGGGACCAACGTGAGGACATGAGGGACCAACGTGAGGACAGGAGGGACCAACGTGAGGAGAGGAGAGACGCTCGAGATGAGAGGTGGCAGCAAGAAGATCAGAGAAGGCAGGATGCAACGCTGGGGCTGCTGCGTGAGCAAACAGGCATGCTCCGGAATCTGGTGGAGCTTCAGGAACGGCAGCAGAATAACAGAGTGCCGCTACAGTCCCTGTATAACCCCCTCCCCCCTCCCCATGTTCCATAACCTCCTCACCCAGACGTGTAAGAACGCGAGGGGGGGAGGCTCCGTACACCCTCCCATTCCACCCCAGTGGACAGCCCAAGCAACAGGCTGTCATTTTTTTAACCTTTTTTAGTGGCCTTTTCCTTCCCGCCGATCCTCCTCCCAAACCCCACCCGGGTTCTCTCCCTCTTTTTATAATCAATTAATAAAGAATAAATGATTTTTAAATGATAGTGACTTTATTTCCTTTGAAAGCAAGCTGGGGGAAGGGGGAGGGTGGGTTCCTTACAGAGAATGAGTCAATAAAGGGGGCAGGTTTTCATGAAGGAGAAACAAACAGAAATTTCACACGGTAGCCTGGCCAATCATGAAACTGGTTTTCAAAGCTTCTCTGATGCGCAGCGCTTCCTGGTGTGCTCTTCTAATCGCCCTGGTGTCTGGCTGCGCGTAATCAGCAGCCAGGCGATTTGCCTCAGCCTCCCACCCCGCCATAAAGGTCTCCTCTTTACTTTCACAGAGATTGTGGAGCACACAGCAAGCAGCAATAACAATGGGGATATTGGTTTGGCTGAGGTCTGAGCGAGTCAGTAACGATCGCCAGCGACCTTTTAAACGGCCAAATGCACATTGTACCACCATTCTGCACTTACTCAGCCTGTAGTTGAACAGCTCCTGACTCCTGTCCAGGCTGCCTGTGTATGGCTTCATGAGCCATGGCATTAAGGGGTAGGCTGGGTCCCCAAGAATAACTATTGGCATTTCAACATCCCCAACGGTTATTTTCTGGTCCGGGAAGTAAGTCCCTTGCTGCAGCCATTTAAACAGATTAGTGTTCCTGAAGACGCGAGCGTCATGAACCCTTCCCGGCCAGCCCACATTGAGGTAGGTGAAACATCCCTTGTGATCCACAAGTGCTTGCAGCACCATTGAGAAGTACCCCTTGTGGTTTATTTCCTGGGTACCCTGGTGCTCCGGTGCCAAGATAGGGATATGGGTTCCATCTATCGCCCCACCACAGTTAGGGAATCCCACTGCAGCAAAGCCATGCACTATGACCTGCAC